AGACAACCTCCATAGAGTGGTAACAGCTTCCTTTCGAAAAGATTTTATTGTTCTTTCTATTTATGTGTATGAATGTTTTGTATATACGTGTATGTATGCACTGTATACATTCTTGATGTCCGTGGAATCTATAAAAGAGCACTGGATCCCCTGGAACTGGAGTTACTAATAGTTGTGAGCTGTCATGTGAGTGCTGGAATCAAACCAGGGTCCTCTGTAAGAGCTGCAAATGCTTTTAACCACTGAGCATCTTTCTAGCCTTTAGCTGTCAGAATTTCATTGAAAATGGCAAAGTAATTTTCATTGTCCTCTCCCCAGGCGCTTAGGTACCATTTACAGAGAGAGCATTTCAGTTTATTGGCAAGTATCCTTCTCCCAGGAGAAGCTGGTTGGACAAGAATCAGGTTGTGAGGTCTTTGTGGGTTTTGTGGCTTAGACATGTGTTAATAAATTATATCCATTCCTAAAGCCTGACATGGGAATAAACTCTGAGTCTACCAATTACATTAGGAAGAACAAGATTGCTGTCCATTAAAAGTTAATATGGTTTTTGTATTTCTTATGCTTCTTCCAACTCTCACTACTGTGTAAACGACATCCTGTAGAGAGTGCATGAAGCTGTGTTTAGCTAGAGTGTGCCAGAGAACAAAACCTCCTGGACGTGTGCAAGGGGCTCCTTGACCATATTCATTCCTTTGCTAATGAATGCTTTGTCTTAAACACTAAAATACCACAGCCCTCATGACTGTTATAACTTAACTGGAAGTGACTTGAGATATGATTTCTTTAAAAAAAAATAGCAGCCTAAATGCAATATTCTTTGTTGGATTGGATTCTGGAATAAAAAGAGAATATTAGTGGAAACCCTGCAGCCTGCCATTCATTTAATAATGACCTATAAATGTTAATTGTCTTGTTCTGACAAGTGTACCCTGGCTAAGCAAGATGTCTCCCTAGGGGACACTGGATAGATGCTATGTAGGGACTCTGTGCTGCCATTTCCTGCAAATGTAAAGACTAAGGACCAATAGGACTTTCAAGCGAGGATGATGAGAAAGTTCTAAACTAGGAAGGAATTCCCTGGATGAGGATTCTATATATTCACAAAATGGTAATATAAGTCTAAAAGTGGGATTTTAAAAGAATGTTGTTATGGAAACAAAACACATGTGTAAACGAAAGTGATGGCTGTAACAATAATGAGACATCTTCCTAAGCACTTTTGAAATTAAAATTCTATGTGTTAAGTACTTGGAAGCTGCCAACAGCAACTGAGGATGTTTCTAAAAACTCAAAGGATTGGCATTCGCATTCCTCATGGGATGAAGTTGAGAGACTGTCCTCCGCTTTGTTCTTTGTCCCCAAGTCTTTTTATTCTTTGATCACTTATCACTCTTAAAGATTAAGGGGTGACCCTAAACATCTTTTTAACTCATACATTTAAAGTTTTGGCTTCATTGATTTTTATAGAAAGTACAAGACTCTTAAAAATAACACAGGCTACCCTGTGGTTTGTGACCTGCTTAAAATACATTCCCTCTCCTCCTCCTTCAGTAAATGTACTCCTCCCATCCCAAAAAGGACATACAACTCTGGTCCAGTCGAATAAGGTACTACTCTCTTCCTCTGAACATACTGCTCAAAGTGGGATGATACAAACAAGCAGGACCCGGAGATCTAAGGAGGAGACAACCTGAGTTCACTCTCACAGCAAACAGGCGCCAGCAGCCAGGAAGCCCATCCTACCTCTAGCCAACATCCAGGTCTACTGAAAGTCAGATAGTAATTCTTCTTGCTGAACTCTGAAAAACTGAATTTTGTGCTCCAATAGAAAATTAATACAAAAGAGGGAAGAGGGAAACACACTGGGGACTTGGTAAGAACCGACAAATTAGGGAACCTTCCCCTTCCTCTCAGCTTTGTTATGGCTACTAAACTACTGAAAATGCATACCTGCAGCAAAGCACTACCCACTGGGATGCAGCCAGAGTGTGTTAGCCCTGATGAGAGGCTATAAGATGTGCAAAGCTGAGGTCTGTTGCTAAGGAACAGAAATTGCAAGGGTAGGGTGAGATCTCTGATGTTGGTGACTGGTTTATAAAAATCCCCAGGTATAAAACTAGCAAAACTCCAGCTGAGGTCTGAAGGAAATTGTAGCACCAGAAAACTCCAGCTTGGCAATAAGCAAGCCTGGGATTGTTTATCGCTGAGAGCTTCTCGGGCTCAAAAACAGTCGTTAGGTAAATAGTGTTATCCTGGCATGTAATAGCCAAGGGTGATTTACTTTTCCTATGTGCAGAGCCACAGCACCAAGACTGAGTCACAAAGCTCTTATTTCACAGTTAAGGAAGAAAATTTAGAAGTCATTTGAAGCCCAAACTTCAGCTAAAAAGAGAAAAATCATACACCCCGGAATTCGCAGATGTTAACACAAAGTACACACTGGATGAGCCTGCATTGTTTCGCTGGAAGATGAACTGTATGAAGAGACGTTAAATTCAGCAAGGGGAACTTTTGGAATTGTGTGTAAAAGCAAGGGTGTAGATGATGGCAGTGAATTGTGGTAGGCTGGTGCTATGGCTCACATCTGTAATCCCAGCACTCAGGAAGCTGAGGCAGAAGAATAACCAGGAGTGTCAAGCCAGCCCAGGCTCCAGTATGAGACTCTATCTCAAAATATAAAACAAAACAAGTAACAATAAAAAGTACTACTGCAGCATGCTGTGACATACTGCTCCTTTCTTAACTTGGCTGTTACTAGTCCTTTACTCTCTTCCAGTGCTAGAACATCTCTTCTGGGACAGATGTGAGCATATTTCACAAGCCCACCTGTTCATAACACTCCATTCCCAAGACTCTATTAGGGATTGAGCATGTAGCCCTATTAAGAGTCTTTCTCTGGAGCTGGTGAAGAGACACAAAGGAGGGACAAGACTCTCTCCAAAGATCCTCAAAGCAGACGGACCAAGCCTAGAGCTGTGAGCAACCTACTTCTCTGGCAGCCTGGAAGATGGAAGAATATGATTTCGTGCACAGTGGAGTTTGAGCTGAGACCAGAAGAAAGAAGCGTGAAAGACCCGATGAGGTGACTTCCTTCTAGGCCCGAGGACAAACCCATCCAGGAACCTCACTCATTTTTATCCTCACTCTCTACCTCTCTCCCTCTTTCCTTCCTTTGGTGAAACTTTGTTTTAAATATCCTTAGAAATGCTCAAATTTTCTATATTTGAGCACTTGCATGTCTTCACAAATTTTCAACAGTCTCACATTTACTAATATTCTTCATGCCTGTTTTTTGTTTGTTTTATATTTACACTTTTATTATGTGTATGTGTGTGCCATGGATGTACAGATGTCTGTGTGGCCAGAATAGGATGACCCTTGGAGCCATAGTTAGAAGTGGCTGTGAGGCACTTGATGTGGTGTTGCGATCCAACAAGGTCACACCTCCTAACAGGTCACCTTGACTTCTTGGTCTCTGTTACAATCATTCAGAGGATTTTTTTGTTGAAATAGGTGTGGTCTTGTTGGAAGAGGTATGGCACTGTGGAGGTGGGCTTTGAGATCTATGCTCAAGCTCTGTCCAGTGCAGAAGAGACCCTTTTGCTGGCTGCCTGCACAAGTCCGTTTCCCGCTGCTGTCTGTGGACCAACATGTAGAACTCTCGGCTCTTCCAGCACACTGTCTGCCTGGACGCTGCCGTGCTTCCTCTCATGATGACAATGGACTGAAACGCTGAAATTGTAAGCCACAGTGCCGATTAAATGTTTACTTTTATAAAAATTATCTTGATCATGGTGTGTCTTCACAACAATGGAAACCATAACTGAGACACCCCAACTTTCTCCTTTAAGTTGATTTTGTGAAAGTATTTTATCACAGTAACAAAACAGAGGAACACATCCTTTATCCCAATCTCTGTGCACATGATACTCTGTCAGACAGAGCCTTCTGAGCTTCCTGGTTTAAAGAACCCACCAACTGGCTTCTGCTTGGCACTGTTTACCCTTCCCCCACCTGCAGTACCTGACATTGATTTATGTAACTTTATTTTAGTGATCATACCAGGATGTTTTCAAGTATGTATTACATGTGTGTTGTGGCATACATGCACCTCATACAAATAACAACAACAAAGAATTAAAATAGAGGAGGATGATCCAAGCTTATCTAAAGCATTCCTAAATTTAAAAATGGTGGGGAGTGATCAAAGAACTGGAAGGTGAAACCACAGAGCTGAGAGTAAATATGGGTGTCCAAGAGCTGAGAGCAAAAACCCCACCTCCCTGCCACCAAAGTCTATTTCTGGTTTTTTACACTTCTAGTGGTAATACCTATTTACTGAGGAAGAACTTTGGAAAGTATAGATAAGTATAAAGTAAAAGGAAAACCATCAATAGATTCTCTTGATCTTTGTTTTGTTTTGTTTTGTTTTGTTTTTTTTAGAAACAGGTTAGCATTTAGAGTTCTTCAGAACTTTAAATACTCATTTATAATTATTATCATAATAGATTTTCTTCACATACCTATGATTATAATAATGATTCTACATGGCTCTGATTATAATGAATATTCAAGTTTATATGGTGGTATTTATTTATTTTCGAGACAGGGTTTCTCTGTATAGTCCTGGCTATCCCGGAACTCACTCTATAGACCAGGCTGGCCTCAAACTCATAGATCCACCTACCTCTGCCTTCTTAGTGCTAGGATTAAAGGTATCGGACACCACTGCCTAGCTATATGGTGGATTTTAAAATTAATGTATTTATTCACTTATATCCCAATATCAGCACCTCCTCTCCTCCTAGTACCCCCTTATACAAATCCTACCCCCATTATCCCCTCTCCTTTTTCTATGAGAAGGGGGACCCCCCTATATTCCTCCCAATATGGTGGATATTTTTAACATTAGCATTTTTACATGTTCTTAAACCATCTGTAAAGTAAATTTTCTTAAATTTTACCTCCTAGTTAGGTAACTTTGAAATATTAAAGCCATATTGTTTGAAAAGAGAGAAAGCTACCACTTCCCTTGACAAGGATGGAAGAGGCCCTTTGGCCTAACAACATAATATAGTCAAGACATTGCTACCAACTTCATTACATCTAACCACTGGTTTGTGTTTGTTTGTTTGTTTGTTTTTAATTAAAACTATTTTGAACTATATCCCTAGTAATTATTCTCAGAAATGTAATTATTAAGCCCAAATATTTGAATACCTAAAGGCATTGAACATATTTTAAATATAATTACCAATTTAGATGAATGAATCTATTCACATATGAGAAACTAGACCTTCATGAAACTAGAATTAAATTAATCAAATAAATGGGATCAGATAAGAGAATAACAAATAAAATATCATCATGCCTTGGAAGAAAAGCTCTCCAGAATTACACCCAAAATTAAAAATTGATTTGATTACAGTAGTATAAACGAACAGAAAATGTGGTTCATTTACACGATGGAGTATTACTCAGCTGTTAAAAACAACGAATTCATGAAATTCTTAGGTAAATGGAAGGAACTAGAAAACATCATCCTGAATGAGGTAACCAAATCACAAAAAAACACACATGGTATGTACTCACTGATGAGTGGCTATTAGCCCAAAAGCTCACAATACCCAAGATTCAACTCACAGACCACATGAAGCTCATGAAGAAGGAAGACCAAAGTGTGTGTGCTTCAGTCCTTAGAAGGAGTAACAAAATACTCATGGGAGCAAATATGGAGATGAAGTGTGAGACAGAAACTGAAGGAGGGGCCGTCCAGAGACCGCTTCACCTGTCCATCCATCCCATGTGTAGCTACCAAAGGCTGACGCTAATGTGGATGCCAGGAAGTGCATGCTGCCAGGTACCTGATATACCTGTCTCCTTAGAGGTCTGCCAGAGCCTGACATATACAGAGGAGGATGCTCACAGCTAACCATTGAACTGGTCACGGGGTTCCTAAGGGAGGGGTTAGAGAGAAGACTGAAGGAGCTGAAAGGGTTGGTGGTCCCATGGGGAGAGCAACAATACCAACCAACCAGAGCTCCTAGGGTCTAAACTACCAGCCTGGGAGCACATAGGGAGGGGCCCATGGCTCCAGCTGTATATGTAGGGGAGGAGGGCCTTGTTGGGCATAGGTGGGAGAGGAGATCCTTGGTCCCATGAAGGCTGGACGCCTCAGTGTGGGGAGATTCGAGGACGTGGAGGCGAGAGTGGGTGGGTGGGTGGGTGGGGTCACATACTCATAGACGCAGGAGGAGGGGAGATAGGATAGGGGGTTTCTGTGGGGGGAAATGCAGAAAGAGGATAACATCTGAAATGTAAATAAAATATCCAATAAAAAATCCATGAATAGAACACACCAATGACTCAATGGCTCAATATTTCATTGAGAAAGAATTCAGTATCATTGAGCTGAAGCAAACCTTGAGTCACCAGCAGTTTGGGTAATTTGAGAAAGCATATTGAAAAATATGCTTCTGTTTTGTTTGTTATCTTTAATGAACCCTCTACCTTAAGAAGTATCTGATTTTTTTCTTGAGTAACAACATGAGCATCAAGTGACTGAGACCATGCTTGGCTTTTGTAAACAACATATACTAATCTTCCAGAAGCCAGGCTTCCCAGACAATAGAAAGAAGCTACTTGTCAATGCACATAACAGGAAAGAATAGTGATGTGCCCAAGCAGAAGTCTTATAGTTAACACTAAGGATGAATATGTATTAGAATAAATGATTTTTCCGTTTTTTGTACCTGACAGGATGTTATTATCTTCCTAAGTATTAAATATCAACTTGCTATAAAAATCTGAAATTATGCCAAGAGAAAATAAACTGTGTGAACTACAAAAAAAAGAACAAAGATGTTGATATCTGCCATGATACATGATACTCATCTCTGCTAGGATACATAATCTTTCAAAGATATTGCTCCAGCATTTCTCTGATATGAAAGTAATATCTTAAAAATACAAGACAACAGGCTTGGTTGTGACGTCTACAATCCCAGCACTCAGGAGGCAGAGGAAGGAAGGTCTTTGTGAGTTTGAGGCCAGCCTGATCTACATAAAAATTCTATGACTCATCAAGTTCTGATATGCTCAATGTCATAAAACAAACATTACTTGATGGAAAGAAACAGATGGGGCCATAAAAATTATAGTGGTGATTTTAATATTCCGCTCTCTGTAACAGATAATATGTGCAAAAAATTAAAACCAACATACTAAAAAGTTTTAGCATTAATCTGGACTATGGATCAAATAAACTTAACAAATGCCTATAGAATATTCTATCCTACAGATATGGAATGTACATTTGTATTAGCTGGCTATAGAACTGTGATGTGGAAATTTCTAGTTCTTTGGAAAGTTAGTTATAATGTTTTGCTGAGATACACAGGTGAAAGGATGTTTGGATATAGCAGACACGTAAAAGGATGCTTGATGAAGGAGTATAAATATGACCCCACAGACAGTGGAAGACAAGCACTGAGCTTTGGTTTGGTTTGATCCACCTCACTATTCTTCGCTAAAGACACACATTTTGGTTCGCCTTATATAGTGTTGTTGAGCTCAACTTGTGATAACTCTGACACTGAGAGAAACTCGACCAAGAACTGCTCTCAAGGTTCCTGTGGCAGCTTGCTCCTTCAGCAGCCTCACCTCAGGCCGGTTGGTGAGGTTCTTCAGGATTGAACTCTGGTTGCCGGTTTGTGCCTGATGACTGCTCTCTGAAAGGACTGGACTGTAGCTGCTGGTTGGTGTCTATTGTCTGCCTGCCTAGAATACTGGTCTGCAGAACTACTGCCAAAGATCAGGCTCGCCTCCAAAAAACCATTGCTGAACAGGTCCACTTCCTCCATATGCTAATAACTTTTCTCTTCCATTACCTCACTGGGTGGTGGGCTAGAAGAGAAGTAGAACCCTTATTAAAAGTAGGTTTCAAAAAAACTGTGCCTATAGAACTGTCTCTGATACAGATCATATTGTAGACTGTAAAGGAAATATAAGAAATATAAGGAAAAGCTGATTTCTGTATTTTAACAAATCATAGTAGAACAAGACTAGAGATTGGACTGGGGAGATTGCTCAGTGAGTAAAGGTGCTTACTGACCCTGAAACCACATAAAAATGGTTGGAAAACACATCTTCAGATAGCTGTTCTCTTCTCCTTTCCTCCGCCATCGAGTGCACTACGCCTGATTCGGCTTCTCGCCATCTCGTCTCACAAGACTTTCAGAATCAAGCGATTCCTGGTCAAGAAACAAAAGCAAAATCGTCCTGTTCCTCAGTGGATCCGGATGAAAACTGCTAACAAAGTCAGGTACAACTCTAAGAGAAGACACTGGAGGAGAACAAAGCTGGGTCTGTAAACATTCATGGCAATGGCAAGACTGAGGGTTTATATTAAATTGTGGTCTATGATCAGTCCTGCCAAATGGATTTCAACATTTTTAACCTGGAGGCTTACTTGTGTCTAAATTAGGGTGTTTGTCCAGAAATAAAATTTAGAACCTTTCAAAAAAAAGTTCTATGATAGCCAGATCTCCATAATATATTCTGTCTCAAAATGCTATATACATACATATATACATACATGCATAAATATATATGTATATGTACATATGTGCATATGTATCCATATAAGTGTGTATGTATGCATATATGTGTACATTTAATATGTGTGTGTAAAATAAAAAACACAGGTCACAATTGATAGCTGGTTTTGTTTTGTTTTGTTTTGTTTTGTTTTGTTTTGTTTTGTTTTGTTTTGTTTTG